TCATGGAATTGTGGCCTTGAGTTGGAAGTTCCAGTGAATTTAGACCTTGAGTTAACGTTGGTCAATATTCAGAGTTCAGATGCTTAGATTGGATTTCCGACGATTCCGTTGGTTTTATGGGATGATTTTCGGTCTAGAAGAGGTTTTGGTTGAATATTTTAAGGTTTTGAGGGCTATTTGGTATTTTGAGCCTAATGTTAGTTTATTGCCACTTTCATGGGTTTTGGGTCAAGGAGACCTCGAATTTGTAATTCAATGGTTCCATTTAGTTTGAAACGTTGAGTTTAGTTGTGTACTCGGGGTTTCGAACGAATCCTGAGAGTCCATTCATGATTTTTTGTGCATTGTGTGACATGTTGTTTTGTTGATTCTGGAGTTTGTTCAGTTTTTCATCGCGATCGTATGATGTTTAATTCCCTGTGCATCACGATTGTGTGGTGGGGCGTCGCAACCACATAGTTATTGGGGTCTGATCATCATGATCATGTGGCTCTGCATTGCCATCTTGATGGTCAATTAATGAGTTGACATGTGTTACTCATCGCGATCGCGAGATGTGGGGACCACAATCGTGATGAAGAGTAATTGAGGCCTGGGCAGAATGTTTCCAAAATCGAGGTTCTTCCCCTATTTTCTCCAATTTTGAACTTCGGAGCCTTGATGAGGCAATTCCAAAGTGTATTTTCGAGATTCTTTATTTGGGTAACGATTTCTAATTTCCCACCTCTTTTATCCACTAATTACTTCATGATTTTACTGTTTAAACTTGGGTTTTGATTCCAAACATTGAAGGGTTTTGAAAAGGCTAATGTTTTTTTATAAGCTAGTGATTTATGCTTGATTTTAACTCCATCGTTAAATGGTTTTCACCGGTGACTTCCAAATTCTCTGGGTACTAGATTTTTGTACAAAATTTCATATTTAACGCTCATTTTCAGAAATGGATTTTTGGGTCAATTTGATCCTATTTTCCATAATATTTTATATGGTTGTTGTTAGCTCTGAATTCTTATTCTGATTACTTATTTGATTAGCTTGTGTTGATTTTGCGGCCCAACGAAAAGGGAAAGCTCAAGTTTCTGAGTGATTGGTTGATTTCTTGAGGCAAGTAGACTTCTTGACTTTTTTTAAGTATATAAAAGCTCGTATTTCCTTATTGTATGTGTTAGGGAGTAATGAAATGTAGTGAAGGATTGATAATTGTGATTATATGTTCTTATTGAGTATCTTAAATGATAAAAATGAGAAATAGAAAAGAAAACTTGATGATATACTGATGTGTGATTTGTTGTTGATGACTTGAAAGATTATACTGATTCATTATTGATGATGTATAATGGTTGTGTTGATATGGATTGTGTATTGATATGAAATTCATCATATTCTCATGAATTGTGTGAACATAAGTATGTGCATTGGTTCTAAAATATCATGATGAGACCTATTGTGATAATTATGCTGATGGAAAATGATTCTGGTGATGTCATTGAGAAATAGTTTTTGCGATATCGATGGAAAATGATTTCTGGCGATTGATGAATACGCCGAAGGGAGATGATTTCGACGGATATATGGACATTATGTGTCCCCATGGGTTCCGTCCCTAGTCGCACCTGATATGTATTGTAGGACATACATGCATCATTGTACTTGACATTGCATTGCACGACATTATCATATGTGAATCTTGTGAGTGCTTGTTATGGAACTTGTAGTTGATTACTATGAATATATGTGTAGATTATATGTATACGTTGAAGTGTTATTATACGTGTTATGTGTTGTAAATGTACAAACTGCTAGATTAGGTTGATTATGTGTAGGTTGTAGTTGTGGAGGTTCAGTTCGAGTATTGAGAATACATATTTTCTATATTGTTTTACCTCAAGTTAGTGGTTTGTTTGGTGAGTACAGTGTTATTTGGTACTCATTTCCTTTCTTCTACACTTAGGTCGGTTACGAGCCCGAATCAACTTGATTCTCCTTCTTCTTTTCTACGTCTGAGGCTTATCATGGAGAGTCATGAGGTAGCTTCTTTTCATCTCGACAGTTTCCTTTTACTCTTTTATTATGTTCTTGTTCTATTCTAGAAACAAAAACATTCAGACTTATACTTTTTGAATATGTTGTAATACTTAGAGGCTTGTGCACGTGACAACCAAATTCTGAGCTTATTTTCAAGTTATGTTATGGTTTCCACATTATTGAGTTTATGATAGTCTTTAATCATGTTTTACTTTCGTATTTATCTTTTATGTTGGGATTAGGTAGACTTGTCTTGGTAGGATAAGATAAGTGTCATCATGTCCATTTTTGAGTCGTGACATTCATACTACCCATTGGCTATATATAAAGGGGTTTCCTCACATTTTTAAACTATGAATTTTCTATTCTTGTTCTTCTTCTTCTTAAAGAACTCAGGTGTGATATGCAGTCGTTGAGTGAGTTTGAAGTTCAATGGAATTTGGATACTCCCTCACTTGAATATTAAGTATTTAATATCCCAAAAACACTCAATTTAGTCTTATATTTATACACACACTAAATTAAATGCATGAAGGTCCTTAGAAATGTTGTTTGAACTTTTTACCCTTCATTTAAAGACTTCGCTTTAGACAACCGTCTTTTCACCATTTTCCTCAAAAAAATTGTCTTTTAATAATTATTCTAATATTTAAAATTTTGAAATTAACTAAAGTTATAACTATTGTAAATTTTTACTTATTTGCAATAGTTAAGAACTCCTAATATTTAGTATCTTAAAATTGAATAAAATTCTAACTTTGATCTTAAAAATATTATTATTTAATACGTGTTCTTTGGAGTAAAGAACTCCTTCACTATCCTTATACAGATTTAGGAGTAATTTTAGGTTAGGACTATTATTATTATTTTTGTTATAAAAAAATTGGTCTAGGAGTCCTTTATGTTTCTTTCTTTTCTCAGTTTTAGGAGTCCTTTTTTAGGTTTAAATATACTTTTTGTTGGTTATACAATTTTGTGCTTTAAAATACTAAATATTAAGAGTTCCTACCTCATATAAATAAGTAAAGATTTTTTTTCTTTTTCTTCTTACTTTAATTTTGATTCAAGTGGTCTTCTTGCATTCATTATCACAATTCTTAACGTTCAAGTGGTCTTCTTGCATTCTTTATCACTATTCTTTATTTTTGTCTTTCTTTATTTCTTTTAGTTAATAAATTTCAAAATTATATGAATTATATATACATAATCAATAATTGACAATGAATTCTCCCATGTTGATAGCTTCTCCTGTTTTTCTTTCAGTTGAAAATAAGAAGGATTCATAAATCAAAAAAATGATTTTGAACTCTTATATGATTTGTATTAAGATTTTAAAACTCCTCTATTATAATAACCAAAGAGCACTACGGTAGTTTTTTAACTTTTATTTGTAGTTGAAATTTAACCAATAATACTAATTTTTATTTGTAGTTGATACTTTACCATTAATATTAAGAAAGAATTGGACTCCTATATGATTTGTATGAAAACATATATGATTTATGTAAGATAATAAAGAAATATAATAAAGATAATTAAATAATAATCGGAGGAAAATGGTGAATTAGGAGAATTCAAGGGGGGGGGGGGGGGGGGGTACCACATTAAAATCATTAGTTTTATAATTGATTTGACATATTTCATTGATTGTAGAATTCAAATAAAAGGGACCTACTTTGAGGTAGTATTGATCTTAAAGTACAATTAGAATAAGAATCATTTATGTAAATTGTAAGAATCATTATTTGAAGGCCAAATACATAAACAGATCCCTAAACTTGTTGGGTTTTCCCCTCAGGTACCTCAACTACTTCATTTTCCTATTGAATCATTGAACCACCCATAATTTGTTCCTTTTAAACACCGTTGGCTGATGTGGAACCAAACATGATCTCACGTCGTTTGAGCGTGAAGACGCTTTAAAGTCGTTGATGTGGATCCTAAACCACCCACCAACGATCTTCTTCCCCCTTTTAACCCTAATTTATCCCCTTCTTCTCTTATTTCTCCTCTTTTGTTTCTCTTCATCTTTATTTCTCCTCTTTAGCTCAATAGAATATATCTCTTCTTCATTGATTTCTTCTTAATCATCAAGTTCCAATGTCGAAGTTATTTTCTTCATCGATTTCTTCTTCTTCAACTGCAAATGTGCTATGTCAATGTGGGGTCGTTGTGGAAATGAAAACCTCATGGACGCAATCCAACCCTGGACGTAGGTTCCTTTGTTGCAAAACTTCAAAGATAATTCATTTTTATTGTCCAATATAGTAAAGAATCACCTTATTTGTAATTCAATTTTTTCTTTAATTTTGTAGGCACGAGGTGGATGTGGATATTTCCGATGGTATGATGATGAAATGTCGGCTCAAGCTAGGAGGGTGATATGGGGTTTGTTGAAAAGAGTCAAAACATATGAATTGGAGAGGAATCGATCAAGAAAAGTATGGATGATATGCATTGTCGTAGGGATGATATTGGCTACTTGGATTTATGTAACAAAATTATCTTAGTTGGTTCATTTGTCTTCTACTAGATTTTTTCATAAAAGTATGTATGATAGATTGTAGTATTCTCTATGAGGGCAATTTTGATCGGCTTTTCTATTGTAAATGCCTTCAATTGTGTTCTTATTGTAATGATTTTGATTGAAGGAATGAAGACAAACTGTGTGTTAGTCTCATTTTTTCTAATGTGTTCAAATGACTTGAAGTAAAACATAATTATTCTCAAACATTTTCACTATCAATTGGATTAATGAGTTCTAGAACAATATAAATCAACACGGTAAAAATTGATCATTCATACCATTAATTTGCTCTAGTGAGCTCCAATCAAACATACCAATCCATGGCAACTAATTAAAAGCAGTACCACAAATAAGTTAATTTACTTAAAAGACACCAAAATACATTTTAAAGCAGTCAATACAAGTTTTGTTGTGATTACAAATCCAAAAAGTGACTTTTCTGCTGAAATTAGGCAGTCCTTGGTGAACTAGATGTTCCACGTTTGTTTTTTCTTGACTGACTGATACATTGCAATTGTGAAGCTGTGGCAGCATCTCCACCATTCCACTTGAGTCCTCGAGGCTTATAACCAATATCAATATTTGTTGGAGTTGCATCCTTGTAAACTCCCGGAGTGATAACTCTTTCTCCTGAAGTACCAGGCTGTATAGAAATGTCTTAAAATGAGACTTTATATAGTAAAGTAAGAAATGAACAAAATTATGTATACACTTACATTAAAGGTTTGACTACCACTTGCATTTGTATAGATGCCAAATCCTACAGTCTTGGTCCTTTTTTGTCTTCCTGTTGATATTGAATCTCCCATAGCCCTTGGTTGATCAGGTTGTTGACTTGATACACCTTCAGTGCCTTTACCAATACCTCTGTCAATGCCTCTGCCAGTGCCTCTACCAGTGCCTCTGCATGTGCCTCTACCAGTGCCTCTGCCTGTGCCTCTGCCTGTGCCTCTGCCAGTGCCTCTGTCTATGCCTCTGCCTGTGCCTCTACATGTGCCTCTCCCAGTGCCTACATGTGTCTCTACATGTGCCTCTGCTTTTAGCAGGTTGTTGCTCTCTTCTAACAGCTGAAGAATCAAAACACATAGAACTTCCTTGATGACTGAATACTAGTGGCTGACTTGAGCTTGATGGTCTGCTAAAAAGTGGTGGTTGTCTTGAGCTTGATGGTTGCCTAAACAGTGGTGGCTGGCTTAAGCTTGATGGTTGGCTAAACACTGGTGGCTGGCTTGAGCTTGGTTGCCTGCTTGGGTAGCCTCCAGGTTGTCCCATCCCAGCCTATTAATACAGTAATAATAATTGATTACTCTAAATAATTGAAGCTAATTGTAGATGAATTAGAAGAGAATAATAACTTACCATGGTTGGACAAGCTTTTTTGTTGTGGCCTACTTGATGACACGAGGAGCAAGTCATTTTTACTCCTCTTTTGGACAACTTTCCATACTTTTTCCTAGGCTCATTCTTTGCCTTTCTTCTGCACTTTAGTGGCCTACCATGCATGACTTTTGGTTCAGGAGGTTCAATCACTACACCACTAGTGTGAGGCCACATTTTTATGTTTGGTATTGGCTGTAGAAAGTGGTTATAAGCCTTCAAGAATGTCTCTTTCCTAAACCAATGCACTACTTCATGTTCAGGTTCTATACCTTTGTGCTGATATGCAAGCATAGCATGTTGACATGGTATGCCCCTCAATTGCCATGTTCTACATGTACATGTCTTCTTCCTTATATCAACAATATGCCTGTACTGACCATCTAAGATTTCATACCCAATATCACCATTGAATCTAACTTCACAAAGTCTAGCAAGATCTTTGTTCTCTTCAAGTACTAGTCTAGCCATATGAGAGATATCTGAGATCCAAGTTTCAGAAAATTGCCTCATTGCAATATTTATGTCCATTATCTTGTGTCTAATCTCCTCTGACATAGTTATGATAGCCTTATGTCTAGAAGCTAGTATCCAAGAATTAAAAGTTTCACACATATTGTTTTCAACAACGTCACACTTAGAATGCTCCTTAAAATATGCTTTGCACCAAGTAGTTTTTTCATAATGCAACTAGTACTCACAAATTTTGTTACCTAATTTGTTGAGTTTATCCATCTCATCTTCAAATTTCACTTCAAAACTTGACTTAGCACATCTCCGGAACTGGTTCCTTCTTTTTTCACCACTCCATATTTGATGCCAGTTGGACAAGATATGTCTAGCACACCTTCTCTGCTCACTATCTGGTAGCAACTCACATAAAGCTGGTACAAGACCCTATGTAAACAATTATAGCACAAAAATTAAAAAGTATTAACAACACAAGAAATTAAAAAATAAGAGATCAAGCTACAATACAAAAGCTATCTAACCTTCTGCATATCTGACATAACAGTCAGTCCATGTCCTGTGCCTAAGTTCAGATCTTCTATCAAGTAGTTGAGGAAAAAACTCCAACTGTGTTTTGTCTCTGAGTCAACAATAGCCCATGCATTTGGAAACATCTGTTGATTTCCAGTTCTACCAACAGCAACCAACAATTCACCTTTGCAAGAACCCTTTAGAAAGCATCCATCAAAACCAATAATTTTTTTTTGCATCCTTCCAACCAGCCTCTCTTCAATGCATCAAAGCAAACATAGAAGTAAACAAACAAAGTTTTTCCTGGCTGAGACTCTCTATATGTCCTCACCCAACATGAAGTACCAGAATTAGTATGTTTAATCATGTCTGCATAATCACACAATCTTGAAAATTCCATCTTCCAATCACCTAAGAAGTCCTTGACAACCTTTTTTTTTGCCCTATGACAAATAGTTCTTCCAACATACAACCCAAATTTTTTTCTCACCAATTCCTGAATTTCCCACAATTTTATATATGGTTGACATGTAACTTCATCTTTGAACTTTTCTGCAACAAACTTAGATGTACACAACTTGTTTTTGGTTGATTGTGGACATACATACACATGATAATAATTTTTGACAATAAAACTAAAATCCTTATCTATACTAGCAAACAACAACCATTTACATTTCTTGTCCTCACACTTAACTCTAATCCTTTTTTTGTCATTAGGCTTCAACTTTAACCTAATTTTATATTCACAAGAATAGTCTGCAACAACTTTTCTAAATTGTTCAGCACTTTCAAATACCAAGCTCAAAAATAGCTAGAACACAATCAATATCAAATCTTACCTTTTTACTTTTTCTTCTTGCTGGTAAATCAACACCCCTCACAAAATCTGGATCCAATTCATCCCTATTGTCATCACTATCCAATTCTGAGCTATCTATATATTGCTCATCACCCCCAAGTCTTCCAGTATATCTAGCAACCTTATTCCTTCCTATGTCTTCAAATCCTCTATCAATACCAGTTGTTCCAAGCTTTGTTTCCTCAGTTTGAATAGGTTTTTTCTTTTTCACTTTGTTCCTCCTTTCATTTCTAAGAGATCTCAATTCTTCATCAACCTCAGAGTCATCCTCATCAGGAATAGCATCCTCTTCAGAGTCAGCACTGCTTTCTTGAATTGATCCAGCCCATTCCTCTTCTAGATCTGATATATCCCCTGGCTCAACTTCCACAGATTCAGCCTCATAATTCAACCCTTCACTTGCAGTCACATTTATATCTTGTAAGTCTTCTTCACCAACCACATTGCTATTTTTTTCAACTACAGGCCCACAAAGCAAACTAGTTGTGGTGACCACTTCTACATCATCCACCACATGTTTTACATAAATGTATAAAAAGTCACCATCCTTTAGGTCTTTGATAAGATTTAGTAAAGTGAAATCAGTTTCCACCTCAGTAAAGTCATTTTTTGTGGGGTCTTTAACACAAAACTCACCAACAGTAATATACCCCAATTGTTTAGTGTAAAAAAGTAATTCGATTATTGAGAAGTGGCCCTCGTCGATATTAAAATACTCCACCTCGTTTTCCCCTTTATAAGTAATTTCATTTTTGTCCTGAATAAACTTACCACCATGATGAAAACGAGTTATAATAATGGTGTCCATAAGATTCCCTGAAACAAGGCGAAAGCCCCAAAATTTTCTGACATGTTATGAACAATAAGAACCAAAAAAAATCCTAAATTTTTCCAGATATTAACAACACACCATCACATTAATACTAAAATGCAGTTATATCACGTTACAACAATAAAAATTACATAGAAATTAGGGAATGAACTTACCTCACACCTGTCAACTCGAAAATCGTGATTGAACTCCAAAATCGTCTGCAATCTTCAATGATTCCTTCAACAAAACATTCGAAATCACTTCAAAATCTGAGAATTTTAGTTGTAAATGTCATTGAAAGAAGAACAATTGTTAGGGTTTTCTCGTCTAGCATTGGGTTAGAATTGTTTTGGGGGGAAATGAAGGGGCTTTAGTTTTTAGGTTTGAGGATTGAATATGTGGCGCTGATGTGTAATTGGGTTGAAGTCTGATTGGTTGGAATTTCCACTTGGGGAAGGTTGATCTCACATGCAAATCAACCAAAAAATATTTGTTGAAGTTTGGTTCCACATCAGCCAACGGTGTTTAAAAGGAACAAATTATGGGTGGTTCAATGATTCAATAGAAAAATGGCGTAGTTGAGGTACCTGAGGAGAAAAACCCAACAAGTTTAGGGATATGTTTATGAAAACACATAGCTCAAACTCCTTCACTCTTCTAACTCATAAGTCATAAGAGAGTTCAAATTCTCAATGGAAATAATTTCTTTTTATTTGGTATCATATATTTCACTATTGAACACTATTGTTCCATTACAAGATTTTTATATCAAGTTTTACTTCTTTATGGACCTAACGTGCAGGAGAAAGAAGCGATGACACAATGTTTTTGAAAATTTAATTTGGTAAGTTATTAACTCATCTATATATATTTTTAGTTGAAGTAAAAATATTTTTCTTGCCCCCATTTCCCCCCTTCTAATTACTTATTTATTGTTTGAGATTTATAAAGACTCCAGATTTTATCCATGTATAATATATGAGTTCCTTTGATGATGCCACAATAAAGAAAGTTGGATGTTTAACACATGTTGCCGGTTTACCTAACTTTAATAGGTTGGGCTTAATTGTGCATATGTGTTTGAGGGATTAATTACTTGGTTGAATCTTTTTTTAAAAATATTACTTATTTTAAATATATTCTCTAATTATTATTATTTTTAGCAATATATAACAATATTATGTATTTTATTGAATTTGTGTCTTTCACTCTTTCCAGATTAGCCATGTTTTTTTTTTACACACTTCACCAATAACTTACAAAATGAATTAAACTTGAATAAAAAATATATTACACATATTAAAGTTGAATAGAAAGAAAATTAAATATGAATGCAAAATGTAGCAAACGAAAGAACAATATGTGATCTGTAAACTGAATAAAACTTGTATCAACAATAAATTAGACAAGAAATATAATCGTATCAAATGAAGAGACAACTAGGGGTGTACATGACCGGGTTGGTTCGGTTTTTTCAAATAGCAAACCAAACCATTTGTGTAAAAAAAATTAATTTATAAACCAAACCAAACTAATAAAATTCGGATTTTTTCGAATTTTTCAACCTCGGGTTGGTTCGGGTTTTTCAAATATCAAACCAAACCATTGTGTCAAATTTTTAAATTTATAAATCAAACCAAACTAATAAACCTCAGATTTTTTCAGATTTTTGGATTTTTCTGGTAAAATTTGCATACAAACATATAATTAACTTGTGTTCCAAATATTTCTTTAGTCCAACCAAAATATGATTATCTAAGGTGTTTCTTAAGAAGATAACACAAAATATGAGATGAGTACTGATGACACTAAAATATTCAATAAAAACTAATAATGAAATCATCATATAAAATAAATATTGCAAAGTCATAATGAAAATGATCATAATTTAAAAGTACTAAATCATGCTAAAATAAGTTTAATAAGTATTAGTTACATTACTAAATATTTAAGAAAAATTAAAATTAGATTATGTATTTTAATTGTCTAAACCAATGTAAAACTAAAGAACAATAATTCAATATTATTGTCATTCTTAGTGTTGAATTGATTTTCTTTTTGCATTAGTATTAATTTAATTTTGATTTTAAGTTTTATTATAATTATCAACATATATGAACTA